AAGTTTGAGCATGTGGGGAAAAAGGAACCTAGACCACTGCTGTAGGAATGCAAGCTGGGGCAACCACTCTGGAAAAAAATTTGGAGGCTTCTTAAAAATCTAAACATAGATCTGCTATTGATCCAGCAATCCCACTCCTGGGATATATCCAAAGGAATACAACACAGGTTACTCCAGTGCACCTGCACACCCATGATTGCAGCACTATTCACAAAGCCAAGTTATCAAAACAACCAAGATGCCCCTCTACTGATAAATGGATCAAGAAAATGTGGTATTTATTACACAATGGAATTTACTCAGCCCATGAAGAGGAATGAAATCTTATCATTTGCAGTAATGGATGGAACTGGAGAACATCATTCTGAGCAAGGTTATGCAGGCTCAGAAGACCAAAAATCATATGTTCTCCCTCATATGCGACATTAGATCTAGGGCACATGCAGCAAGTGGTTGCACTTACACTGAAAGGGAAAACACATAAGGATATATATAACTAATAGGTAGAAAACCCAAAACATGAAAGCGTTTGATGTCCCACTCCAGAGGAACTAATACAGAAACCTTAAAGTGACAGAATTAACATGAGAACGGATCAGGAACCAGTGTAAAGGTCAGTCAGAGATGAATCAACTTTGGTTGTAACAATTGTACATGGAAGCAATGCTAGAATCTTTCTGTATAGCTATCCTTAACTAAAGTAGCAAAAATGCTTTGTCTTCCTTATATGCTTTATGCTTTCTCTTCAACAAATTAGAGATATGGCAAACAGGTTCTGTATGGAAGTGAGGGGAGTAGGGAGGAGAGGGTGAGTGAGAGGAGGGAAGGGGGGAGAAACCCCAAACAATGTATACACATGTGAATACACTGAATAATAAAAAATTTTTTAAGTACATAAGCTTCATGTTTGAATGACTAACGGAATTTAAATGATTAATGAATTTTTCAAAGCATGAAGCCAATCTAATTGTTTTCCATTCCACTGACGGCAAATCTTTTCAAAATAACTCTTCAGATGAAAAGAAAAAGAACCTAGTCACAATATTACGGGCAATCTGCACACTATTTTATTTGTTTACTTCATAATTTAAGCACGTAAATATTGAATACCCACTGTAGAAAGTTCTCTGTGTGATCTTAGACCAATTCAACTCCTTATTTTCTTCAAAAATTGTACAACGTGCAGGGAATGAACATCTTAAAAAAAGAAAGACTGGCAGCCTAAGCTTTGTTCCAGGGCAACTCAAAACAGAATGTCCTTTGGTGCTTTCTCTTAGTGACTCTCCTCTTCCATCCATATAAAGTTTCTGGTTCTCTTAGCTGCAGGGCAAAACTGGAACCATCACAAATGAGACTGTCTTCCCTCTGTCATTTATCCTGAGCTTGGAACAGCTGGTCATGAATCCCTTTGTATCACTGTCCATTTACTCTCTAAGAATTATACCTCACTCTCATGACTACCTGTGTGAGAGTGCCCTGTCCACTGCACTCGCCAAGTGGTCCTAGTTGACCTGCATTGTTCCACCATGTCCAGTACTCAATGGAAATCCTGGTACTTACCAGAGCTTATAGTTTAGTGTAGAACTGTTAAACAGAGACAGCACCAACGTTAGTAAAAAGAAAGATTTCATTGGAAAGCCGACTGCCAGGCTGACTCTTGGTTCAGAGTACAGCAGCTCGGCAAATGGGTAGTGGGCTTTTAGGAGGCCACACCACAACCATGAGGGAAGGAGGGTGTTTCTCCCAGAGAACAGCCAGCCATGGTCCTTGCTTATCTGTGACCACCAGATGGAATGGGTCAACATGCGTAGCTAGTTGAGCAAATGGAAGTTTCCTGCTTTTGCAAGCAGGGAAACAAGCAGAGAGTTTTGCAAGCAGTCATAATCAGGGGTCGGTCTCAGTGATAGCCTCGGGACCCTCCGCCCACCCCAAGATCCCAGAGAACAGCCAGGCCACTGTCCTTGCTTATCTGTGACCACCAGATGGAATGGGTCAACATGCGTAGCTAGTTGAGAAATGGGAAGTTCCTGCTGTTTTGCAAGCAGGGAAACAAGCAGGAGAGTTTTCATAAATCAGGGGTCTGGTTCTCAGTGATAGCCTCGGGACCCTCCGCCCACCCAAGAATGCCATGGACCTAACATTCCAGCCCTTTGTTGATAACATGGGCGCCATTCGATCTATGTGCTTCCCGCTGAGTGAAGGCATCATAAAGAGAGGAGGGGGTGTCCAGCCAGAATCTGGAAATTTGTGAGGTTCCCAGAAGTGGAGGTGGACATTTTTCCCAGGCTTTATTTGCAGACAAGGCCAATTTTTGGTAGACCAAAGAGGGTTGTAGTAGGATCTGGTGAAAAGTCTGTCTGCTGAGCTCCCCTAGGTGATCCTGGAGGCATCTAAAAGGCAAGGGATGATAAGAGTAAGGAGAAAATAGCTGCCAAAGGTCACAACTGACAGAGCAAGTCTTCAATATATCAAAGGTAAGGAAGATAGATTGGCATCCTTTAGTTGGACAAAAGGTGGAGTTAAGCAGAGTATGTGGGTAAAATCGACCTGCCAGTCTTCTCCAGGTATTGAGTCCCAGAGCTGGTGGGCCAAGAAGGTTAGGGGTGGTCTGGGGTGGTGGATGGAGGTCTAAAGGAAAAGGTGAAGTGGAATTTGGAGAGCAGGTCCCTTCCCAACAGAAGAGTGGGGCAGGAGGGCAGCATAAGGAAAGAATGTGTAAAGGTAAAACCTGATATATAACATGAGAGTGGATCAGTAGCTTTTGGCTGGTGGAGGAGACCATCCACCCCCACCACAGAGATCTGTAAAGGATAAAGCTGACCTGAAAAGTCAGGTAGCACTGAGTAGGTGACTGAGGCGCTCCTGCTACTTGGATGGTTAAGTGATCTTGAAGGGCGCCAAGGTTCTAGGGCCACATCAGTCTTCTGCTGCCAGGCCCAAGAGGTCCATGAGGCCTTTAGTCTGATGGGAATGGGGATGGGAGACTGACTTACCTTGTAGAGGCAAAAAGGGACAGTTGACTCTCCAGTGTCCATTCTGGCCACATTGTGGACAGGATCCTGGTGGCAGGTGAGGTAAAGAGCAGCTTTTTGCCCAGTGTCCCATTTGTTTGCACTTAAAGCAGGCCCCTGGAGGCATGTGTTGTTGTCTGGCCTGTCTCAAAGTCAGAGGAGGTAGCCTCAGGGCAGCCACAAAGAACTGGGCCTTTCGCTGGTCTCAATCCTCATCTCAGTTATTAAATACCTTAAATGCCATTTTCACAAGATCTCCTTGGGGAGTTTGAGGGCCATCCTCTAACTGTTCAAGTTTTTTTATTTTTTTGAGTATCAGGGGAAGATTGGGAAATAAAGTGGGAGTTGAGACCAATTATTCCATCCTTGGAAGATGGGTCTAGCTTAGTATAGCAGGTTAAGGCTTCAGTAAGATGCCCTAAGAAGTTTGTGGGATTTTCAGTTGGGCATTGGATAATTTCTCTAATTTTGTCAAAATTGACTGCCCTGTGGGAAGCAGTCTGTAGCCCCATGAGGAGGCAGGTGAGCATATAATTCCAGGTAGCTAGCATGGTGGGGTCTTGATAGTCCCAATGTGGGTCCTCACGTGGCACAGCTGTAGATCCCACTGGGAGAGTGAGATCTGTGTGGTGGACGTCATCAGCATGTGCCTGGGCTGCCAACCAAACTGTTTCCTTCTCATCTGAACTTGAAGTGGAGGAAAGAATAACATATATATCATGCCAAGTCATATCATATGCTTGGATTAGGTATTTAAATTCTTTAATATAGGAGGCTGAGTCATTCGAGAAGGAGCCAAGTCTCTTCAGTTTGAGAAAGGTCAGTCATGGAAAAGGGCACGTGAACTCTGATAATGCCGTCAGCTCCTGCTGCCTCCCAGAGTGGATATAGATGGGCTGGGTGTGTTTGGGAGGAGGTATGGGAGTGAGTATGGGACACAGGTGGGGAGGAGAAGGGTGAAGGTGTAGCAGGGGCTGAGGGTGATGTTGGTGGTGTTAGTCCCTGAGGAGCAGATGGCTCAGGGTCAGTAATGACTATTGTGGAAGGGGAATATGGTGGCGGATGTTTAGGAGAACCAGGAGGGTTGGAAAAGGGGGGCCTGAGCTGTGGGAGGATGGGATGGGAGAAGAGATTGGTGTAGAGGACTGGCAGGAAGAGGAGTTGAGAGGTGGCAGACAGAGCCCATGAAGTCACAAGTAAGGGAGGAATCTTCAGGAGAGGGATCAGGAAGAGTTTTAGATTTTGAAGGGGATTTGTCTCTAGCAAGGAGGATTTGAACAGCATTACAAGGTTAGAGCAGGAGGGTCGAGAGAGGAGAGAGAAAAGCTTGGCAAGGAGTTTTGGACCACTTGCCATTGCAATGGCAGAAATTGTCAAGATCTATAAGTGTGTGAAAATCAAAAGCACCATTTTCAGGCCATTGGGATTGATTGTCTAGCTTGTACTGAGGTCAAACGGTGTTTCAATAATAAATCAGTAGCTTAGGTTTTATATCATGTTGGAGACCAAGGTTCCCAAGGGAGCAGAGAAGGCATCCCAGGGGCGTGGATGCATCTAATTTAGAGTGTGTGGTCCCCATAGTGTAACTGAAAGAAAAGAGAGAGAGAGAGAGTGAGGTATGTGCCTCAGTGAGTTTACCCATCAAGCCAGTATAGATCTAGGTCAAGATCTAGCCTCCCTTACGTGACTCAGGCAAGGAGAGCAGAATAGTCCAGTTGCCATTTGGTCAAAGTAAGCTGGAGGGGCTGTTGAGCTCTCACCCTAGGCAGAGGAGAGGAAGACAGAGAAGGAGAGTGAGAGAAAGAGAGAGAGAGAAAAGGAGCGAAAGAGAGTGAGAGGGAGGGAAGTGTCACCCAAATGGGTTCCCAAGGCGGGCATCCCCAGCCTGGGTCACCATCCATAGAGAATGCCCAACCAGTTAGCCAGGCATCCCCGTGCTAAGAGGAGGGGAGCCCCAGCAGACGTAGGAGGGGTACCTGGCATAGCGCTATGACTTCCAAGACCAAGAGAGAGCAGGCAGCCCCGAGAAGGGTGACACTTACCGGGTCCGAGGAGAGGAGTAGGTCAGGTGGAGAGCAGTGAAAGAGAGGCTAATGGTGGATGTTTCCAAGTTTATCTGAGCAAAGAATCTCTTCCTACATAAACTCACCATTTTAATGCCAAAACAAGAATCATTATTATTAATTTTAGCAAAAACCTCTATGGATGTTGCTGTGTATGTGTTGCTTTGCTTCATAAATTGAGAAGAAATTTATCCCTACTCTGGCAGTTGTTGAGAAAGGGAAGGACAGAAGGACACAGAAGGTTTAAAGAGAGAGGATAAGCCACAGATTCTGAACGCGAGAGCTTCTCTGCAGTATGTATAGATTTTGAACAAAAGTAAAAATAATTTTCAATTGTACATTTAAAGTTTTGTTAGACTTCTATAGTCTGCTGTTGCTTACAGAATTTTCAATAAAAGTACATTACTCAAAAAAAAGAAAGAAAATTAAAATATGATCCACAAAATACCTATTTTATCAGGAAAAAAAATAACTGCCTGCAGGCTGAAAATAACTAGACATTAACATTTAAATTGTGTATTATTCTCACCAGTGCAAGCTGACAGAAACTTTTCAGATTAGACTTACTAGGCACAAGGTCATTCTTAAAGCTTTTCATTGAGAGTCCTGAGGACAATTTTCAGTCTTTCTAATATAACTGACCCTGTGGAGGGTGTCTTTCCATCTACGTGTGAAAAATGGTGACTATTTCTTTTAATGACTTAAATTGCTTTCAGCAGGTCAGGTCACCTTGTTTAATAGTTTCACATTACTTTGTTCAGCTTCCATCTCTTAGAAACACACAAAAAATATTTCTTTTCAACTCTCCTTTGCAATGGAACTTTATATTATGTTTGTATAGCTTAAAAAATTACCTCAAACATATGTTCATCTCTCTCACTTTTTTAAGCATGAAACACACTTGGTTTTAAATTCAATCTTGGATAAAATGGTAGACATTCAGTCTTTAAATATGTTTGGCACCCATAAAAACTCTTGTTCAGTATGTTTTGATACCCCACAGACATGTTTTGGAATTCAGTTATTGCCATTTTATCAGTAACATACGCTAAACAAGGTTTAGGACAAGATTATCTTGAATAACATTTATAGTTTGAAGATCTGACTTACCTTCCCTTTCGCAGACATTGCTTCTTTTTTCCTTTCACCTAAATGCTTAGAGCCATTTCAGGTAAGTGCTTATCATTTTAGACATTTTACATAAATAGGGACCTCCAGAGGCCCTTAACCCAGGCCTGCCTATCTTAAATAATGTTTTGTGAACTTTCCCCCTTTGGGGATTATCTGGACCTGGGCTTAAGCACTCTGTTTATTTTCCTTTTCCTACTGCTATTATCAACATGCCCTTGTGCCTTCCAGTCAAAAGCCTGTGGGGAGAAGATTCTCCTATTAAAAACTGTTCTTTTTATTATAGTAAGAAAACAAAGTGAAAGGCAATAGTGAAACTGGAGTTTTGGACCCAAGGCACAAACTCCTGGGATTTCACCTGCCAGGTCTAGCCCCACTAGCCCTTATATGCCAAATAAAAAGGCATGCTGAAAAGAGAGGAAGGAGATTTATTATATGGCTTAGGACACACCCTGGGAAGAGGCAGAGTAAGCACTCAGCCTATCTTCAGCCACCTTAAAGGACCATACATGAGCCATAGGTTTAAGGCAGGGGACAAATGCATGCATAGTTAAACAATTTCAGTCAAAGTTGTGGTCTGGTTGATCATTACCTCAATTCTTGTTCTGAGAGAAATTCTGGCTTTGCTATGTGAGAGCGTTCATCCTGTGGAGACCCTACTATTGGGGGTAGCTTATGTCCCTTGTCATGGAGATGTTAACAGTTTGGTCCTTCCTGGAATCCAAGGTGACTGTAAAGTGCCTGTAAAGACAATGGCTTAGAGCAAAGACAGATACAAAATGAAAAAAAGACGCCATGCTTTTCTCCTGCTTTTAGTTAATTCATGGGTCTGAGTCCATGTTTCTCAGCAAAAGCCGTTAGAACACCTCTTATAATAGAGATAATAAAATAATCATTAATCATTTTTCATAATCTTACATGAATTTTGTGACATGTAAAGCTTTTCTAATTTGAACAATTACTTTATGTTTATATAATGTAAAGATCCCCTGGTTTATATTAAAAAGGAATGATTAATTTTCTATCTTACATATTCTTTATGATGATGGAGATGATGATTATTAAAGACTGTTTTTAAGGAAGTTTTAATTTCACAGCAAAACTAAGGAAGATCAGAGATTTTCCACATAATCCCTAGCCCTACACACAAAACCTCCCGCATTATCAATGTCCACAGAAGAGTGGTACATGTGATACAATGATAAAACTACATTGATGTAAGCTAATCACCCAAGTTCACAGTTTGTATTTGGTTTTACTCTTACGCATTGTGTGTGTTTAACGACTTATAATAAGGGGTACATAGCATTATAGTATAAGCAGAGTCATCTCCTGTGCTCCACTAATTCATCCTTAGCCACATCCCCCAACCTTTGAGAGCTGGAGATCTTTTTGCTGTCTCATGTGTTCTTAAATAAAAAATCAACTAAATTTCAAAACAAACTGTAGTTAGGAAATAAACAGAACACAAATTCTATGGTAGCAGTAGTCGTTAGAATTTTTGCTATTTCTATCAGTTTAAAAATATTTTCTAAAATACTACAACATACATGTAAAAAACAATGCTAAATAAGTCCACAAAAAAAGAAAAAGTAAGGATCTCTAATGCATTACCATAGAAAAAAATACAGCTGGGGAGAAGATGGTGTTTGCATAAAGATATGAGGAAATAGAAGGGATTTAAAGGTCACAGAGAGGTAACATGTAAGGTCACACAGAAATGCCAACAGGGAACGAAGGCATGGCCAGGGAAGTGGTAAAACAAAAACAAAAACAAAATAAAGAAAATAGGAAATCAGATACGCATGATGAAAATGCTATTTGTATTGTTAAACAAAATATATTCATGATGCATGAGATTTTGCAGTAGAGGAGGGGAAATGGGCTCAACTTCCAATGCAGCAAAGATCAAGGAGAATGTACAACCAAGGAGCGTGACAGGATGGGGAAAATTGCTGTAAGAAGACATCTGAGATAAGAGGAGCACAAGAATTCTGGGTAAACTAAACTAGCAGAATTCTTGCTGACCACAAGGCAGGTGATCACACCTAACTAGGATATATTGGAAGACAGGGAACCTGAGGGTGATTGGGTATGGAAGGCGGGGGAGTCTGGGTAAAGTAAATTAGCAGGTTCTTGCTAAAACTGCACAGTTAAGAGATGAATGTGGAAACCCAAAACACAAGGCTAGTGTAGAAGACAATATACAGGAACCTGAGGAGAATACATTCAGGAAGAGAAGCTGCTAATATTCAAAAAGAGGAATAATAAAAGCATTCATTCCTTCAAGATAAAAGAGGCCTGTTAGATACTTACTTATGTATCTTATTTAATACGTTACTTACTTATCTTACTTATGTAAGTATGTATATACATATATTTTATATAACATATATACAGCCCTAACATTTCATTTTTGAATAAATGTTTACATATCAGTTTACATTTCAAAAAAATCAAACCTTGAATTTATCTATTTTTATATGTATTATCAGTTTGTCTTTTAAGGTAACTTTTAGAAACTTTATTATTTGTGAGCCAAGAGCCAATAAAAAAGCAATTTCTGAAAGGAGTTGGAGGTCTACCTTGGATTGTAGTCATGTGTAGAAGGGAAATTGTAAAACAGATTTGTTAAGAACTGAGGGAAAGTCATGACGGAGAATCTGCTTATAACTTCTCCCTTGATCAAAACCATTCTTAGATTGTCAAAAAATAGCAAAAGCAGGATTTCAAATTTCTGTATTTCTGGCCTTTTTTTTCCCTCAGTAGTAGTCAGCTTACTAGTCTTTTTTTGTTTCTTTTGAAAAATTCCAAGAGGTTTAGAATATACAAAATGAGAAATATGGTTTCTGTGTCTGTTATTTTTAGGAGTCCTGGAGATGCAAAAACAAGATAGGGAGTTCCCAGTTAGCCTACACAGAAGTTCCCCTAATGTAAATATGCTACATAATGTTGGACTAAAAACAAATCTGGACTGTAGTAAGGAAAGTCTTTATTTGAAAATATTATTGCTAGAATGACAATGTGGCTCAAGTGCTAGAGTACCTGACTGGCAACTTCAAGGCCCTGAGTTCAAACCCCAGTACCACCAAAAAAAAAAAAAACTGAAGAAGAAAAAGGAAATTCCATTGTCGTAGGGAGAGCTTTCTAAATATAAGATCCAGAAATTTCTCAAGAATAAGACAAAAAGGTTTTATTTTATTTTACTTTATTTTATTTTATTTTAAAGATAGGAATAACCAATGGTAGAAAGAACAGGTGTGGTAAGACAAAATAAAGGATGGTATAATTGGATAATAGGTGAGGAAACATTTTGTTCTGTGGTCAGACTACTCTTTAGGAAAGACAACTAAGCCGGGAGGCTACATGCAGCCTAGGTCTGAGGGTACACCAATGTGGTGTCAGGAGAAGGAAAACCAAATGAGCCAATTTTTGGTTAATAAACATTTTATTCCAGTTCATAAGTGGAGACAATATAACTAATAATCTGTGATATGAAGAATGGGAATTTGAAAACTCTGCGTGTGACCTCATAGGTAAACCAAGGAGTTATGCCTTCCCTACATATCAGAAGAAAGGGTGATTCCTTGCAGCACGAAAGGACATTGGTGGTACAATTCTTCACTTAAGGTGGAATCACAGGATGGCAGAGATCAGGTAAAGTTCACATTGTTAATGACCGTACTATAATATGAAAGAGAAAGTGCAAACCAACAAAAAAGTAAACATTAGCATAAAATTTTAACATGAGTCTTAACATAAGACACGGCTATGCATTTTTTTGTGGTTGAACTATTACCTTATTCAAATAAAAGGTAAGTCAACAGCAAAATACCACTATAATGTAACATCATCTCATTCTTATTTCCTATACCTACTGAGTCAAATTCAGAAACCAACATTTTGCCAGATAATAGTAATAAAAATACAAAATCTTCCTTCCTCAGAGGCCAGATAGACTACTTGTTATCCAAAATATCCAGATGTTTTGTGAGTTTTTATTTATAGTATATATCTAATTTGGCTCTCAGCATTTTAAGAGATTTAAAAATATTTATTTTTATTGATTTATACTCACCGTGGCATTTTTCATTTCGCAAATGTCAAATGGCACAAAGATTAACTAAAAGCAAACATTTAATACATTGCCACTGAAAGAATCCCTTCTCCCTCTAGCCAGCTTTCCTTGGAAAGCTTAATGTTAAAACTTTTCTGAACTATTCTAGGTAATTGGAGTTGATTAATGTTTCCACAAAAGCGTCACTTAACTAAGGGCCAATGTTATGTCAGGCATTTTACTTAAGGAAAATCATCTTTCTTTCTAGAACTCTGTGTCCTATAAAAGAAATTGGCAATGTATAAAAGTGCAACTGGCTATTGTGAGGAAAATTGGCATTACACAGAATATTTACATATATTACACAGACTATATGCAGACATGTATACACATATAGTTCTGAAATCTTATCCATATACTTGTATTCATTTTTCCACAACAACAAATATAGCTAGAATAGTTGGGGATTCTTCTTTTTAATTAGTGAATAACTTCTACACAAGTTTCTAAGAGTATCTTTCAGCTTAATGTTCCATAATTTCAATTCAGATAATGTCATAGATAGACCCTTATAGGATTTCCAAATATGAAAACAACAGAAAAAGAAAATAGATAAAAGAGAGGAAGCACAGAAATGGGTTCTTTTATTTAGGTCGTTCAGGGTACTTTGGTTAGAAAGTAATTGGATTTGGTTTATTTGTGAGGACAAAGAGCAAGGCAGATTTCAGTTTTGTGGCACTTCAAGTTTATACAATTATTGAAGTTGTTTTAAAGAAAAACTACGGCTCTTCCGCCGCTGTCACCGCCATCCTCGGCGCGACTGGCCTCGTTGGGATCTGCCTGGGAGAATCCACCGCCATCCGCCACCATGGTGAACTTCACAGTAGACCAGATCCGGGCCATCATGGACAAGAAGGCCAACATCCGCAACATGTCTGTCATTGCCCACGTGGACCATGGCAAGTCCACACTGACAGACTCCCTGGTGCAAAGGCTGGCATCACTGCTTCTGCCGGGGCTGGGGAGACCCGCTTCACTGACACCCGGAAGGATGAACAGGAACGCTGCATCACCAAGTCCACCACCATCTCCCTTTTCTACGAGCTCTCAGAGAATGACTTGAACTTTATCAAGCAGAGCAAAGATGGCTCTGGCTTCCTAATCAACCTCATTGACTCCCCGGGCACGTGGACTTCTCCTCAGAGGTGACAGCCGCCTTCCGTGTCACTGATGGGGCCCTGGTGGTGCTGGACTGTGTGTCAGGGGCGTGTGTGCAGACGGAGACGGTGCTGCGGCAGGCCATCGCTGAGCGCATCAAACCAGTGCTGATGAGGAGCAAGATGGACCGCGCGCTGCTGGAGCTGCAGCTGGAGCCCGAGGAGCTCTACCAGACTTCCAGCGCATCGTGGAGAACGTCAATGTCATCATCTCCACCTATGGCGAGGGCGAGAGCGGCCCCATAGGCAACATCACGATTGACCCTGTCCTCGGCACTGTCGGCTTTGGGTCTGGCTTGCACGGTTGGGCCTTCACCCTGAAGCAGTTTGCAGAGATGCATGTGGCCAAGTTTGCTGCCAAGGGTGAGGGCCAACTGGGGCCGTCAATGTACAATGTACAATATAAGCCCATTTGGAGTTATCACAATGAATCCCCCGTATACAATGAATATATTGTAACAAAAATTTTTTAAAGAATATCTACAATTTTCATGGTATCTATAACTGTGGAAATATTTAATATCTTCATAAAATTATCTTCCAGTTCATAAAGACTATGTATAGTTATACATAACTTTTCTTAAAGGTATTTCCAAACAAATAAATTTGCTTCATATATTTCTTGCATAAAAGTTACTTGTACATTTATAAATATCTATGTTCATACAATTATTGTAAATATATATTTTTACTATATTTTCTAATGACCTGCTACAAAAACCAAATTAATTTTCTATTTTTACCATTACAAACTCGTGAAAACTGATGTTTCAAATTAATTTTAGCAATTCAGTTTCAGAATTTACTTTGTATTTTATATGAACAAAAATTACATCTAAGATTAATGCAAATTTTATTGCTTTTCTTTCCTTTATCTTTATTTCTTGAGTGATGTCTACAGAGGCTAAAATATTCAGTTAGACATTGGAATGCTGGAAAAAGATACCACAAAAAGCTTCTTTTCTAGACAAGGACAGGTTTGAGTCAAAACCAAAGAAGTGAATGAAAAAATCAGGCTGAAGGATGAGAATGGTACCATCTAGGTGGTGAAAGAATTAAGAAGCCAGTTTTTGTAGAAGTCTAGGGAGAAACTGAAATCACAAAAAAATATTGATATGCTAAGATGAGGAACTCGATTAGAGCCCAGAATTCATGGACTAAAACTGAACGGCCTTGGAAATAGCAGATGACTTCAGCTCGAAATGACAGACTAGCAAGTAACCTTTAAAGTTATTAAATTCAAACCTGAAGATTTTTAGAGTATGAGGTAATAGTCTAGAAACACTAGTGAAGATTTAAAAGGACACCTACCCCACTCCAGGTGGATGAGGGTATGTGTGAGAAAACATCCAACACTGGCAAGGCTACAGAGAAGCAGCATTAGAAAAACTACATTTCAGTTAATAAAACAAAGGAAATTTTCAGAGATGTTTTCCAGATTACTAGCTCTAAATTCCAGAAGACAGAATGCAAAGTTTTCCAAAATGATCAGGGTTAGAAAACACGGCAGGAGGAGATTTACAAAGCCCATGTGAAATTTAGAGGCTTAGTCTTTTATTGTGGTCATTGACACACGAAGTTAAAACATGAGCTCGACAGTGACCTGGCTGTGTAATTGTAAGTTAAGGATAGAGAGCAGCAGTGACCCTGTCACAATAATCACTCTGTTTGGACTCCCATTTGCTTCCTTACTGATTAATGCATGGAGTGGACTTATTTTGGAGGAAAATGTTCTTAAAATGCATATATATTCTAAAAAGGAGCAAAACTAGAGAAAGCCTATTTTACTAGGTGTTTTGCACTAAATACAACTATATTAGCTGCTTAAGCCACTGATTGGAGCCTGGCTCAATGGCAGGCTGTGGTCTAGCAAGTATGAGTTCAAACCATAGTATTCCCAAAAAAATAAAAAGAAAACAATCAATTGAATGCCCTTAATAATGCTAAGATAAATTTTAATTGCTTCTTTCATTTACATTATTATTTAGAATAAAATATTAAACATTTTTTCAGATGGTACTTGATATTTTCCTTCAGGTTCTTTAGAAATCAGAGCCTGAGGAAAAACTTGCATGGTAAAACTTTAATGTAGCATGTAGTCTCATGGAAGCAAGGATATAAGGTCAAATGAGAAATATAAAGAGCAAAAGAGAGAAGTACATTACTTGTTTTGTTTCCTTTATTGGTTTTATAATGAACTCGACCTATTATTGGTCTCATAGGACATTTTCAGAGGCCCAATGAGCTTACTCAGAACATCTGTCTGAAAGGAAGAACAGTTAGATCCATAGCAACTTGTTTCCAGGAAAGTCAGCCCATGGAGAGTTACTCTTCTATGTCTGAAAGGCTTTCCCCTCTCTTTGATCAGCTAAAGGAATGTACATGCTATTCATGTTTTCAAGATGAGTCAGTCTGTCTGTTGTGTATTGAAAGCAGCAACAGTGACTTATTTGGTCCCTGGACTTGAGTGAGTCATGAGCAATGCCATTTGGGCAAAACAGGAAGGTGCATGTCCAAGACCTGCAGAGGTGGATGTGCTGAGTGAAATAGCTTCTTTTGGGGCTTGTATTTACACCACACCTCTTTAAATATATGTAGGTTATATGAGAATGAAATTTCTTCCTTTCTTTCTCAAGAAGGTCAGCATAAGACCAATCATTCAAGACCAAGATCATTTGCACCCTCCTAAAAATTAAAATGGTGAGCAAATGAAGCTATAATCCCTACTAAGAGACGGGGACCTGAACCTTCTCATCACCTCACCTCTGCAGTATTTCAGCTGCCATGATCTTCCTTACACTTAGGCCAGAGTTGCTGTCATTGTGCCTTTGTCATTACTTCAAAATATAAAAGTAAAAAATCATCAAAGTGTTCCTCAAAGAATTGCTTAGGTCCTGTACATATCCTTCCCTTTTCCTTCTCCTTATAAGAAAACATAAATCCTGAGGGCATTTAAAGTTGTTTTCTCTAAGAACTATAGTAATTCCATTCTTTGAATGTTAGCCCTTTGGATGAAAGAATTCAAAATGACCTGGTTTCCTGTGTATTTTCCATTTCAGTGAATTCCTCATGGTTTCTTCAGATAGGAGAGTTTCCAAAAGGGAATAAGTTTCTCTACTCCAACATGCATAAGGTTATGGAGACATATTTCACAAGGAGGTTACTAGAAATGAGAGTTATGAGTCAGTCCTGTTTGGGTCCCAGATCCAGAGCATTCCTGAAGGTGAACCATACATAGCTTGCTGCTCAATGCTGGAACATTGGGGTGTAATGGTACAACTGTGAATTCTGTAAGTATGCACTCATTGATGTTATGCCAACTAGTAAGAGACGCTAAATAAATACATAAAGAATTCTATAAGTTTAGTGGGAAGCCTAGCTCACAGTGAAGGCAGAACCATGTCTAAAATGTTTGTTTTGTTATGGGAAATTACTGCTCTCACCAATGTGGAAGTCATCCAGAGTAGTAAGCTTTGTCACAGGTTCCTGGCTGATATATGTGAACAGTGGTGACACAATTAGGACTCAGTGTTTTGTCTGCTACTGTTAATTTTTTTTCTGTAGTTGTTTTAGTTAGGTGAGATTTAAGAGAAGGAATGGGCACTGTTGGGTCCACACTGAGCTTCCGTTCTGTCATGTCCACTTTCTGCATGAATTCATTGTGCCAACACAAGGGTTGCTATTCATGTTTTCAAGAGGAGTCAGTCTGTCTGCTGGGTTTCTAAGCCATCATTTTTAGTGGATATTTACAGAAAGTGTTAAAATAAAAAAAAAAAGACAGGGAAACTCTCATGCTTTGTTTCTACTCTCCTGTTCTATCTCTGTAACTCTTCTCCCAAACTCAATATTGCATCTTCATGTCTTGTTCCTTTCATATTTGTGAACCACAAGCAAGTCATTTGCCCCTAGACAAAAGCATACATGTCCCAGTCAGAACACTTTTTATTATGCAAACTAAGTTGCATTTGTACCACTTCCAACTCTAACCCTTAAGAAGATTCCCTTTTATCATATTTATTTGGTTCAACTCAAAATGGAATGATGGTGTGGCAATTGTGCAGTTCATTTAATGCAAATGAATTACTCCAACTTGCTTTGCAATCTAATTTATTTTCTGCTCCATGTTATTATAGGAAATTACCTGTGGGCTGAAGACATAAGAAAAAAGTGTCAGCATAACACAGTTAGGAACACAGATAGAGGAATCCAAGGCATTTTTCATGGAATTTATTTGTGCCTCTGGAATAGCTCAGGATGGCAAGAAGTATACAGAGTGTGACTTCATGAGTTATGAGCAAGATGACTTCTATCTCATGGATGACTGGATGCATAGTCTGTTGGGATTCTGTGACACTATGAAACTCTTTTACATGGAATGTAGTTCTCTGCTGTAGAAGAATAGCATTTTTCCAAATTCATTGGGGTCTAAGTATATCTCTTTTGTTAGAATTTCCTAAAATTGTCACACAGCCTTTTTATTTGCTAGAGCCATCTTAAACAATTAATATGTTGGGTTATCTGGCAAAAACTGCAGAACCACTTTCATGCTATTCCAGATAGGCTTCAGTTCATAAGAAAACTAAAGTTCATCACTTAATTGAACAACTGTGTCTATAAACGTTTCCCATTTTCAAGCAGTATTTTGGACACTGAGGTCAAAAAGATCAAATCATTTCTACGCTGAAGACATTCACACTAGTGAAAGCCTATTATAGTTCAAAAACAACTCTGTTAATCTTACCGTGATACTTAAAGACATAGTTTTGCATTTTTTGAATGGTAGTGGAAAAGATCATGCAGTAGATCTACCCTCCTATCAGTTTTAAGTACACAGCACAGTATTATGAACTAAAGGACAATGTTGTACGGCAGTTTCTAGAGCACGCATGCCAACATTTTATGCCCATTGAACGGTTAACTCCTCATTCCCAGTTCCCCTACTCCCTGGTAAATGTGAGTTGCACATTCTACTTTTTTGCAAATGTGTGTTTCACAATTTTAGGTATTTAATGTGCATGGAATCATGCAGTATTTGTCCTTCTGTGGCTGGTGTCATTTAATTTCATTTAGCGCAATGCCCTGGAACTGCATTCATGCTGTCACATATGGCAGGATTCCCTTCCTTTGCTAGACTAAATAAATTTGACTGTTGTAGTGATACAGTATTTTTCCAATTCATCCATTAATCACTATTTAGGTTGCATCGACATCTTGGTTACTATGGGTAATTCTACAGTGAATATGGAGTGCAAATATCTCTTCATGATCCCAAGTTCAGTATTTTGAAAAAGCATCCACAAAACAGGATTGGTGGATCAAAACACAATTCTATTTTTACTTTTTTAGGCACCTCCATATTGTGTTTCATAGAAGCTACACATTTTACAT